TGCTTGAGTGCCTTAACTTCTTAAAGTAAAAAGTCAGACAAAATATTCTAATAGAAATCGCTAAGACATCAGAAGACCAGGATTGGTGAGAAGAAAAAATTAATCCAAGATACTTAACGTCAGACTTGATTTCTATATCAGTATCATCAATTTTGCAAGGGTCATAGGAAACAACGGCTTCATTTAACTTTCGTTTACACCGGAAACTGAAATTGAATGTCTGACAACTGGAAGGATTTAGTTTACGGCCGTTAGACAAAGACCATTTGCTAACTCCTGTTGGAAAGCTGTTCAGCTTAGTACAGTCTAGCTGGGAGTTAACAGGCATTCAAACAGCTGGGTCATCCGCATACTTAACAAAGTAGATACGCAAATACTGCATTTGTTGACCATAGAAATGATGGATATTAGACACCATCACATGATTCAACAGCAAATTAGAAATAAATGGAAATTTTTCTTAGCTCATCGCCACGTAAATAGTCTACATAATGATGTCACTGCATATTAACTGATTAATGAAGTAGCTACCAACCCTAAGTTACCACATTTACTTGTACTACATACTTGGCGTTTAGCACTATACAGACGTGAATGACTAAAGTAACAACCTCATAATGCTATAGTGAATCTCCATTTGACTAACTAAGCTTAACATGCATTAATCTGAATTCACGTACTACAAAAGCTAATAGCATAGCGACGCACTGAAGAAGTCCAGATAAAGTAGAAATTGGGAGTATTTTAAACATTTTCTTAATTTACAAAAGAAAATTCCGATGGAGGGTGTTAGCGCTAGTTTGACCGATTGACATTTCCTCTGATTTCATATTCGACAACCTCCATATGCCTAAAATATAAAGCACAACATGATGTTATGAAAGATAATGTTTTATATTAGTATAGAATATAAACACACTGATTCTATTAATACCAAGCAAAATTCTCATGCAAATAAAAGTATTTGTAGCCCATAGCTGGTGTTTATACTGACGCCGTATGCATGAATATACCCTGATATGTTTTCCAGGATTAGAGGATTATGCGCAAATTTCAAGACAATCTCTAAAGATCCATGCTGTTGAGACGTCATTCTCTCACCAAGATTACTTTCAGACCAAATTCACAATAAATATGCTTATATTAAAAGAAGTATTGCAAACGTGCAACTTAGAACTAAATCAACAATCTCAGCAATGTCTATTGAACATAGTTTTGTGAATCCTACAGAAATTACATTCTCACGCTTAGGGAACTGTAACCATAGAATATAAGCTTAACATGCCTCAATTCCAAACAGCTATGCACAGTGTTAATAGCATAGGGAAACACTTAAATAACGTAAGATACAAAGACCTGTTTTGTTGATGAAGGTAACAATGTCACATAATCCAACCTAGACATTTAATTGTGATACTGCATCTGTACTGCTTCATGTAAATGGAAATCTCAGAAGAAATTCATTTCCACCATTGGTGATCAAAAACAGTGGGGCATATATATTAAGTATACAGCGTCAGTGGGAATGGTATAACAGACAGTAAATTGATAGTAATAGAGCTAACTAGATTAAGTTCTCATAATTAACACAATCCATGTGTATAATAATAATACACACTGAATTAATGCACTAAGTGAAGCAGCGAGGAAAATTGAACGTACTACTGCCTACTCAAATGCACTGCACTTGCAACAATCATGAGAACCACCTACATTTGTTAGCCTGGCAGTCAGCTAAGCACACAATGGCACAATATTAAGAAAGTTGAGATTTTTTTGTACATTGAATCCACGTAACCCATATTATACTGTACCAATCAGTGCAAATATATATTAAATTCACTTAGAGATAACCTTTCAACTTACGGTAACTCCTCTCCAAACACATCTGGTGGAAGACACACATACCTGATAACTTAATTAGCTTCCCAGAGAAGGTTCTGTTAGCATATATAAATGATTTCCATGTACTGGCAGCATTCGTTTGTTAAATAGTACTGTTCTTCCTACGAAAATATACTGCATTGATATCCTGAGACATGAAGTCATTAAATGATACTATACCGAAATGTGAAGGTCCTACATAAAGTAAACTAAATGTGTAAGTCAAATTACCCTCCAACTATCCCATTATTCTCATTATAGCGATATTTTGACAAAGTCCGCCTGAAACACTAATCATACATAGGGAACTCCGGGAACGAACCTATTGCTCTTCAAATATGACGAAATAAAGTGGGTGATCGGACACACGCTCAGATGTGATGTCGCTCGTCAGGCCCTCGAGTAGACCTATATTGGGAAAAAATGAGTTGTTTGTTGGTCCTTGGGTGACTCAGTGGAGATAGTGTGAAGAGCCTGCAGGCGAAGCCAGATAAAGAGGACTGAAGAGAACGGGGTGAAATGAAGATGTACGATTGAAGCCGCATGTTCCAGTGGAAAACCAACGGGATAAGAATAGAACAAATGGGACAAACATACTGATTTTAAATCATGAAAATGAAAAAACGTACATTTAGCTTTCGAGCTTACTGCCTTCTTCAGACAATTACATATAGCAGATGCCAGTATCAATCAATGCCTTCTGATGCAAGTGCTGCAACCCCACCATAGTTCAGGCACAGCTTGCCGCCGACATTGTGTATGTCAGTAAAACCTTTTAATGCATACATCTAAAAAACATACGAAAAGTGTGACTTCTGTCAACAAACCAACATAACTGCAGACTGGGACACTACAAGGGCGTCTGACCACTTTGGGTCTGCGATGTTGGTGGAACATCCAGTATGGTATTCGATCATTTATTCTGTAGATAGATCCAAAATGGAACTTACCAGCTATGAGACAGTAGTGAGAGCAGTTGCACTTCTTAAAAGTAATTGATGCAATGAAAAACCTGTGGCGAATATTTTGGTTTAGAAGATTTTGGCTTTCCGCAGTTCAAAGATCAGAGCATATGCGTAAATATCCGTTTGCTTGCCTGACAACTTCAAATGGTGCTGTCTACAGTGAGCACGTAACTAGTGCCAATTTAACATGTTGCTGTCAGTGCTGTAATTCTTCATCAAGCTCCTGTCTCACTTTATGTGGCACTGGATTAAAACGGAACATTGTCCGAACACTGCAAAAGAGAGGAATGATTGTTCGCATCCAAGCCACGTTGAAAAACAGATGCAGACTCTTTGCACACACCAAGAAGAGAGGTGTCTGACTTTGAAACATTGTTTGTCTCTTCATAAAGGGAATTAAACTGGGCATTATCCACTTGCATACGATCGAACCAATGGGTAGGATTGCCCACAACTGCGCACAGTTTCTAACCAACTTGCAAGGGCTTGGATAGTGTCATTATATCACTTAGGTGTAACTGGTTGACATTTCCACAGATGTAATTGGCGTCCGAAAAGTGGGTCTGCCCAAGACAGTATGCAAAGCATTTCGCCTTACAAAAATGTTGTTTGTCAAATCCAAACTATCCCAAAAAAGTTCATAGTCATTATGAACATTTGGCTGCTCAACGATCTGCCTAGTCAACTGAAGAGTAGACATTAAACAATCGCACATAAACAGCGCACTGTACAAAGTAAATGAGACTCCTGGAGGTGTAGAAGTCATTGTGAACACTGGCGAAACAGATTATCCAAGTGGAAATATAACGGAAAATGATGTTAAACACACTAATCTGGGTACCTAGGCTTTACGAAGGGAATTTTTCGAAACAATTTTCAACAGAAATGCATCTATGCTCATTCTAGTAATATCTCGAACCGAAATACATATCAGTGACTGGCAACGACTAAACTATCGTCCTTCCAATATATAAGTCAACCGCTCCACCAACTTATTGATGGTCACGAAGGTGAGTATATGCTCAGAATTTTGATCAACGTTCCATCAGATTGTCTTGCTTCAAATGAGTGAATTCTTCTATAGCCAACTAAAAGCAGTATCCTGTGTTCATTCATATGTTTTCATATTCAAATAAACGACAATTTCATGAGATTTTACTTTCATCTTGATCCCCACTGTCATCTGCTGACTAATATTCTCTAGCTTGAGCCTAGAATCCTTGCATGAAACCAAATGTGGCGAAGTTCTACAATAGAGTCCCAAGATTGTAAATGTTCCAATGACCCTGAACGCATGCTAGTCATTGGTTGAGGAAGCTCACCATTATTCTAGCGCGAATAATTGTGCATATTGGTAAGCGACACTGAATTAATTGTCTTCTAGGAACTTTCTTTGAAAAGTTGAAACTGTCTTTGATGATTGGTTGTTATTGGTGTCGAAAGTTTAACTTTGCCTGAATATCTTGTTTCTGTCCAATTACTGGGTGCCAGAGCGAATAACGTTTGGGTACATCATCATAGAGTGAACCATTCGAATGATTCCGTCGACCCTGTCATACTCATAATAATTCCATCGAAGGTTTCTGGGGAAGACTGAAAAATAGAATCTGAGCTATCAACGGATCACAAAACGAAGTTATTTTCAGTCATTTGAATGAAGACATGTATAGAAATTGGTTTAATTTAAAAACTGAAACTCCTCTTAATAATTGGAACATTTTTTATCTCATATTAGAGAAGAGTACCCTGTTTGATTTTTTTCATGCTTATTTATGTAAAAATACGTAAAATTTTATGCAAAAATCATCCTTTTTTCTCATTAGTCGGTTCAAGGTCACTTGTGCGTTCGTTCCTTGGGACTCTATTGTAGAACTTTGCCCCAAATGTCAGCACTGAGGAATCGACGGGCTCGTTGAAAAGACGTCAAATACTCTATAGGATGTATCATGACCTCCCTCGGGAAACAAACAAACAATTAACCAAATGATTTTTAAGCAGATGATGTAGTGGGCAAATGGTGGTATCTGCTATATGGAAAACTAATGATGACTAGTTCTGATTACTTATCATAAAGCACGAAGGCTTATGAGGATTCATAGCATGTATAAACTAACGAAAAGTGCTTTGGGTTTCGGGAAATTTCGCGGGTAATCCAACTGTGGCCTTGAGCTGTTCCAATACCTCAAGGTCCCCGAGGTTTGTCTTCATTATTCTATGCACAGTGGGTAGTTTGTTTTTGAACAGGTCGGTGTTATGACATAAAAATCTAAAACTTGCAAGGTAATCAACCGGTAAAAATGGGCGCTTTTAATTTGCCAATAATTAAATAATTGCCTTGGAAATGTCGTAAGGCGAAAGGAAATCATTTTTGGGGATGTCACATTTTACGCCTGTTCGACACATTTTAATGGTGATTGTGTGAACATCTATTCACTACTACTAAGTAAGGACAATTCCGGGGGATGCATGTTGGTGGATAAACCAATCTAGAACCCTCTCTAGTTGTATCTCGGTTCATGTTGTCGCGCTTAAGATCATCATACAAAGGACACAGTATCATATCTCTTGTTTCCAGTAATATATGACATGCCACTGCTTTAAATTGGTTTAGTATGAAAATGCACATAACCATAGGATATAGTATTACTAACGTACGTTGTACTATATCAGTTTCTCAATTTAGTTCATCATGGTTTTCTTTTTTATCTTCGTTTCTAAGTCTTATGTATATACCTTACTTCGAGTTATTTACTAGTTAAAACAATCATACCCTCCAGATTTCTAAGTCTATAATTAAAACATGCTCATTAAAACTTGATTTTCTTAACCAATAGTACAGACGCTTGTATACCTTGTTTCCATCTTAATTGCAATATTCAATACATGTACTTGCTTTATTTGTTTTTGATATCATGCTCTGTACAGCCTACTGCTATGTTCTCACTTTTTAATCATTTGTCTTATCCAAATGAAAAGCATATGAGGTATGAAAACTGGGACCACTCGGAAGCATTGCTAAGTTCTATAGTATTATTGATAACTGGCACATGATACACTAACAGCACTCTAAAACCTGACAACCTCGAGAAAAATGAATTTCTTCACCGAAGGAGATTCCATATATCCGTAAAGCTGCTTAAAACTGCTAATGGTGGTCCGAATAGCCTACTGTCTAAGTGTTTCTAATTCGCTTATATTTATTTTTGAAAATTTGTCTGTCGATAATCGTTAATTATAAATATATCACTATGATCAAGCTAGGATTTGAAAACTAACGTAATATGGGCCCTTCGTCTGAAAAAGAAATAGAGAAAGAATTCAACCAAAGGACGTGTATACTGCTGAGTAGTTCGCCCCGTCCTCCTTTATGTCTGTGAGTGAGACACATAGCCATTGAAAGTGAAACACACGAAACGACTGGCTAGCTGTCTTTCATCATAGGAGTCTGCGTTCTATCTCCTATGTTACGTGGTATAATATGGTGAGTAATATTAAGCTTTGGCTTCGGTCGAATCCTAGGTAAGGAGGGGAAATCAGTGGACGAGGTTGTCAAGTTACATGGATTGACAGAGATGGTTAGGACATGTGTTACACAGGCCTAACCTAGTCATCACCTTCCTTGACAACGGGCAATGTTAACTGACTGACATATGATGGATCAAGTTGAGAAGATGCTGGCACGTAGTGGTCAAACCAAAACATGACTTCATCAGTCAGTGGAATCCATAACAACCACCCATCCAACCCCCTAGGAGAGAGGTGTAGACTATCTGACTGGCTGGTTGGAGTCCTCGGGATGGTATGAAACAATGGTGGCTCGATTAAATTGGTGATATGGCCGAAAATCCTCATTGTCAACGACAGTGCAGACGCATTCACTCTTTGTGATTTGTCAGCCATATCCAATAAAAGTCTATTGTTCTTCCATATTACTGTTATTGTTTTCCCCTCACGTTTCTGTTGATTATCTCTCCCCGTGTTGAATCTGTCTTTACTGTCTTCCCTTGCTATGTGTGATACATGGAGGGAGAGTGGCAACTTGAACTGGTGCGCACATCTGTGCGAAGTTCTATGTTGAAACCAGTCAGTCAAACCTTTCACCCTACTACTATACTAACCCGTGCTGTGACACTAATTTCCTAGCTTTTACCCACTTGTGTAATCCGACCTAATTGAATTATCCAGACCAAAATTTACTTTACTATTAGTCACCTTGGTAACAAAGATATATTTGTCTGAATGTTTTTTTGGAGGATAATTTTAACAACATATAAGTTATTATTATAACTGCATTGAATTATCACTAGTCTTTAGATCTTCCGAAAATGCCCCATTTTCTCTTATGTATGTAATTATGTCCTGCATTTAGAAGTCCCTAGTCAGTGAATTAACAAAATAATTTTCCTTTTTGTATCCATCATGTGTGTGTCATCTCGGTAATTCTTTTTTGAATGTAAATCACTAAACTTGGCCACTCACTCAGCTTACTAGAGGCACATTTTAGCTTCAAATACTATCCCAACAACTTTAACTTGGATAAGAAGGTTGCGTTATATTGTTATTTACGCGATATAGTCTATGACCCAATTACTTACTGAGAAGTCGAACATGTTGCTTAAACGAATAATTTTTAACAAATATTCCTATCAGCAAGGTAGTAAATAAAATTCTTGAAATACATAGCGTTCATCATATCAGGAACAATAATAGTTAACAAACAGTTTAGTAAGCGAATGAACTTCTAAACTATGGTTAAACCTAACTAGTTAACAGTGACATGTTTAATTTAAGATTAAAGTATCGCATAATATTATGAAACAGCCTTGTAAAACTACTTTTTTAAGTTAGCTTACGAATTGACATCATTTAGATAACCATTTAAAGCCAAGGAGTACTGGACTACAGCTGTTTCGTCCCACTCTAGGACTGACTTCAGAACTACGCACCGACGACATTCCCAATACTAAGGATAGAACCCAAAAGCGTCAGGTTACGAGACAACCTCACTGACTATTTAGCCACTATGAGAGAATCCGATAGCCCGTGAGTTGTAACTCCTGCCGGTCCTGGACCTTTCACTGATTGCATCCTTATTTTCTAACAAAATGCACTATACTGTATATAAAGGCGAATCCTCCTCTGTCTTGCTTACTGAAGCTGGTTCCCCTCAAGGTGCTGTTCTCTCTCCTTTTCTTTTCTTATATGGCTTATTTCTTTCGGATGAAATCAAATTCGTCTTACCTTAAATCCCTCTAAATGTCAGACAGTTGACTTCACCTTATGGCATAAACGTGATCTCCAAGAACTGGTTCGTTTACACGATACTGATAGCGTAGAGGGCACTGAAATAGAAAGTAATTCTAACATAAAATGCCTTGCAATAGTTTTATCCTCTGGTCTTTCTTGGTCACCTCATATTTTGTCAATTTTTAAGAAAACGTTCCGTCTAACCTACTACTTTAAGAAGTTAAGACAATCTGGTATCATACAACCTCTACTTTTAAAGTTTGTTAACTCTTGCATCTTACCTGTTGTTCTTTACTGCTCTCACTGGGCTGCTCAAAAAGGACTATGTCATATTGTGAAGGATATTAAAGGTTGTCAGTAGGGCAAGTAGTGTGCTACTCAGACTACCAGCTCGTTATTAGTGTAGTCGATGTACACCTGAACTCATGTGAGAAATGGTCTAAATCCATATCGTGTGACTCTGAACATCTCCTGTATTCACACCACTCCCTTCTCTTGAATCTCCTCAGATAGGAATAGAAGCCATTATAAAAGATTAAATGCTCGTGCAACCAAGTAGAGAAACTCAACGATACCATATTTGGTTAGCGTCCTACAACTTACTTTGTGATTAGCAAAATAATTGGCTCTTTTATTCTCTCCTATTTGTTGTAATCTATGGTGACACTGTTTCAATTAACTTATAATTTTAGCTATTAACATTATTATCATTATTTTACACTTTTTGTGCTCTTTTGACCTTACTGTCAAAGTAAATAGCAAAAAAAACTGGCAATATCAATCCTGTAATATTAGATATGATGGAGAAGATTTATAGCTCAGGTGGATGTTTTTGATGTGGTTGTATTCTCTGAGCTAGATAGTTAATTCGCGAAGCTTTCATCGCCCTACTAGGCGACATCTTCAGCGCATGCTTCAATTTGAAAACTTCGAATTGAAGTACTGTTTTGGAATTTAGCAAATTATTATTATCGTTATTTCAAGGACCTGAAGTTCTAGTTCATTGATCCTTGCTCAGGTTAGATATAATTGAATCATGAGTTTGAATACTGGTCCATTTGGATATATATAGCCAAATAATATCACTGGGTCCCAGTAGTTTAATGGTCTGCGAGCTCTCTCGCCTTGTTACCGGATGGTCCTGAGTTCGAACCTTGTCGGCGGGTGCACACACTGCCGAAGAGTCCCAAAGTAGGCTGACGGAACAGCTGTCCAGTACTCCCTGACTCCTTTTCCAATGGTTATCTAGTCGATGTCAGCTCTTTATAAAATCCTGTGTCCAATCAAATCACATCCCTGGAAAACAACGCTTCGATGTCATTTTGGATATATGGCTCTCAGCATAGTATACATAGGCTTTTGCCGGATTTTAAAGTTGCATGACTTACTGCTAGTTAATGTAATGCATCTTCCCTTATTTCATCTCCTATTACATATTAGTTATATTGTTTATGAAATTTTCTTTATTACAGATTAATCAATCAAACTTTAATTAACCAGTTTATTATTTGTGTACAACATTAATTTCCATAAAAAACAGTGATGTTTGGAACGTGTATTAAAACATTCATTATCAGGTAGAAAGTCTTTGCCGAAAGAGCTTAATTCTCTTCTTACTGTAGAACAAATGTTAAATTCATTTACAACAGTGAACCAGTTCGATTTATGGGCAGTTTGAATAAAGTTCTTTATCCTTGGATGAACAGGAAAAAGCCATTTTGGGTTAAACAACAGGCTAATCCTTATACAGATGATGATATTACACCTGAAAACAAACTGTTCTTAGAACAAGAGCGTATGAATGTATTGACTTGTAATACAAGCCCAATTATTACGGAACAATTGGTTCAAGTACCATGGACACCTTATGTTACACAACGATGCGGCCTAATTGCAGTTAAGTTAGGCATGTATCCTTTATGGACTAAGACTGGACGAAAAATAGACTGTACAATTTATCAGGTAAGCTTTTTTTTGTGTCGTGTTGTTATTACTGTTCTAAAAGTCTATTTCTTGTAGTACCAATGTTGTTGTGTCATTTCGATTTTTTTTTAATTCTTCGGGTACCTGGAACAGAAAGAGAATTGGTGTTGCGTGACTGCAAAACCCAGGGGACAACTGCTTGAAACCGGTCACACACGGTGCGTTTGAACTGACTTTTAGGTTTGGTTCCGTATTAGTAATTTACCGCTGGTTACGGGCCACCGTAGAGTAAGTCGGGATGTACAATTTTTGGGGTCGACCTTCTCTAACCCTGTCTCTCCAAATTGAGGAGACAGCATAGCTGGCATGCTGGCCATCTAATGGAAACACCTTACTGCTGTTACATCCCTGTTCCTTAGCAGTATGAGTTTACCCACAGGCCCCCAGCATAGTGTAACTGCTTTTAGTCTAATCGCTATCCTAACAATCTTCCTGGCATGGTAGGACCCACAGGAACAATAGTTCCAGCCAGTGTAACTTGTTGGGTCATTATGATATACATGCCCGACCGCCAAGTCAAGGTAGCAACTATCGGCGGTGCAATGTTAGATGACATAGGATAAAGCTAACACGTGGGGGTCAAACGAAAACATGGCTTCGTCAGTCAATGGAATCCATAACAGTTAGTTTAAGCCAACTAGCCAGCCACGCAGGAGGGAGGTGTAGACTGTCTGACTGGCTGGTTGGAGTCCTCGGGATAGTATGAACCAATGGCTGCTGGAGACAATTGTTGACATAGTTGTAATTCCTCGTTGTCAACGACAGTGGAGATGCATTCACTCTTTATGATTCGTCAGCCATATCGAATAAAAGTCTATTGTTCTTCCGCATTACTGCTATTGTTTTCCCCTCACGTTTCTGTTGATTATCTCTCCCCGTGTCGAATCTCTCTTTGCTGTCTTCCGTTGCTTTGTGAGTAGCAACTTGAACTGGTGCGCACATCTGTGCAAAGTTCTATGTTAAAAGCAGTCAGTCATCAGTCATTTTGATTTAAATAGGCTCACTGTAACGCAAATATATCCATCTTAATATCCATTGGATTATTGTTTTCCCAACTACACTCAAATACGCGTCTATCCTGACATCATTCTGTTCATCTACTTTTCTTTGATGTGCACTGTTCCGAGGTGTGTAAACTTAAAATGGTTCACTTCTGTGCCAGGTTCTACATTAATTCGGGGGAAGGGTGCTGGTGGCAGTTCATCAAAGTAGGCAGTCGACCTTGAACCAGTTGAACAAGTTAGCTGTTGAAGACGACGGTCTAAATGGCCGCACAATGCTCTAAGCCTACCCTCAACAGATTGGCGCATCACCAAGCGCTTTAATATGCGTATAGCTATCGAGTAATATACTACACCATACTATACAACGCTGATGACTAATCATTAGGCTGTATTTAGAAGCAATTTTTTCGAAAGTACCAAATTAAACAACGAGAAACTTCTTCTCCCTGAACTCTGTGTTGTCACTTTGGTTGCGTTCAGTATGCAATGTTTGTTAGATCACTTGAATGAAATCACAAGAGTTATTGGAGCACATATGTAAAATTTGGCACATTCCAGAGTAGTATTTAGCCAAAAAAATACAGTTATCAGTTGGCTGAAGTCAGATTTGTTGAAACACTGCGGTGCTTAATCCAGCCTTTGTTTGATTTCAGGGTATTTTTCATATAAGAAGAGTGGTGTGTTCTGACAATCTGAGCACTTTGTGTTCGAAACATCAACTTCATTCTGCTTGCTTAGGATGAATGGCAGAATATTGATCATCATACTATTAAGATACGCGGCGTTCGACTATATTACAAGACAGTTTTTCCCGGGCTACTGAAGAAAGACTATAACATATTACGAAGGATGTTAAAGGTTGTCATCAGGGTAAGCAACGTGACACTTAACCAGCTTGTTAATATTCTGGTCGACAGGCACATGGACTCATGTGAAAAATGGGCCAAATCCATTTTATCTAACTCACACCACCCTCTTCATTCACAACTCTCCCCTTGCATCTCATCAGGCAAAACCAGAAGCCTATATAGAAAACTATATGCTCGCACCAGCAAGTACAAAATCTCAACCATACCCTACTTAGCTCGTGTTCTGTGCGATAAAGAAAGCATTAGGCGTGACACCTATAATTCATTAAATAGTCAGTAGAACAACTGGATCTCGTCTTTCCAACTCATATCATTTATAGGTACAACATTTTCTTTCTTTCTTTTCCTTTTCTCTCTCTCTCTTTTTTCCGTTATGTGCTGCTTTGTTTCTTTCTTCCGCTTACGCCAGTAAATATGACAGCACCTACTTTTCTAACACCTTCAAACACTGTTCAGCTTTACCTTTGCTACCGACATGCCAATGTGTTGTTGTAATAATGAACTGAGATTTCCTTAATCTATGTAGAATTCTATTTATTGATAATGTACTAACTGGATGCAATACTGTAGTAAAAATGCTGAGAATTCCATTCTGTATCACAAGTACTGTTTTGGAATAAAGCAAATTATTATTATTATTAATAAGAGATTCCAGAGTAGTGTAATAAAATACAAATGAACTTCCATTTTATTATGCATTAGTATTGTATTTCCCTATAAAAATTCCTGTTACTTCTAACGATCTGGTGGTACAGTTGAGAGTAAGTAGACTTCGGTCTTCCTCTTGAAGATGCTCTCATGAGGTCATGCGTTCACTACTTCTGCCAGGTAAGTCCTATTCATTGTCTTCACGCGGCGGCGGGGTTCCTCACAAAAGTAAAAGGGCGAATTTGAACGTCTGGCGCTTACAACCAGACTGGTGCACAACATGAAATTTCACCTCGGGAGGAAAGTTGGAAAACACTAATTCCAAACCTATGGTGTACACATGGACTCCAGAATCTGAACGAATCGAATGATGATGTATGAACCTGTTTTGGTCACTGAAAAGCATAAAAACATACCTCCTGACACTATTCTACTGCCTTGTGGGGGGGGAGACTTCAAGTCAGAATCTGGGGGCTGGTGGCCCCCTTACAACGACAACAACCACCTGCTTTGGTTTGGACGTACCAGCAGTATACCCCATTCTTCATACAAATTATGGGATTCTGTGTGGTGCATCTCTTAGGGCCTATAATGCCTAAAGTGTGAACTCCCTTACGCAAACCTAGAATGCTCAAGTCTCGTCGAATATCATAAGTGCCTTGTTTAGGGCGTATATATTTCGTCTGACTTCACCCAATCTTTACCCAACATTTTCAAGATGTCAGAAGTTTTCAACTCTCTCCCCCTCTGTAGTACAGTATGTTTGCAAGTACATGCACACAGGTTTACTCTACGCAGTTGTACAGC